GCTCCGAGCTCACCGGGCGCCGCCGTCACTCAGCCCCGCCGCGCCGCCGGCACGCCCTGCCTCCACAAAGGATGCTGAGCCTGCGAGCGGCTCGCTCCCCGCCACGCAGCCTGCCACCGCCACCGGAATCCTTATGGACCTGCCGACCGCCGGCGAGAAGCTGGAGCATTGCACCAAAGCCAGGCCCCGGCCCAACCGCCGGCACAAGCAGCCGCCCAGCAAGCCGAATGTAAGGGGGGGGCACGGCTGGCAAGGGAGGTGGGGTGTATTCGGTGTGTTTTTCCCATTTTTTTTCCGCTTGGGTGAATTATTGCGGTCAGTATTTGTTGCAAGGCAAGAAAATGAGATGCGCAAAGACGCGGTGGGTTTATTATTCTGCATTTCAGCTGCTGCCGGAGCCTCCTCCTCGGAGGGGGGCAGCCTGAAAGGATGGGCAAGGGGGCTGGGGGGGCGAAGGGAATTATCCATCCTCTTTCCTGCTCCCCACTGGGAGATGCTGAGCTGTGGGAGCCAGGAGAGGAATGAAAAAACCTGCAGAGTTTGGGTGCAGAGGGCCAGCGATGTGTTCGGCAATGGCTCCAGCTGCGTCCCTCCTGAGCTTCATTTGCTCCCCCTTATCCAAAATCCATCATCCCTGAAGCACTGGTGGCCACCACGGCTCCCGGTGATGCTGGTGGGGCTCTGCCGGCTGTGATGAGGTGGGTTGTGCTCCCCCCATCCAACAGGCGATCCTGTCTTTGCACCCCCCTTCCCCAAGGAAAAGTAACTTTTGGGTGCAGTCAGTGGCGAGTTCAGCTCCGTCACTGTCCCTGGGGCTGGATCCTGCTGGCATCACCTCATCCCCTTGCCACCGTGATGCAGCTGGATCCTTTCACTTGCTGGAAAGCCCTGGCTAGCACAGCTGTGGTGATGCTTGCCCTTGGATCACGGTGGGATCAGGGCTGGCACGGGGCCGGAGGGGAGGCAGCAGCTGTGTCCCACAGGCAGGGTGGGTGCTGGAGGTTGGCAGGGCCATCACCCTGCAGTGTGACAGGCACGCCTGGCACCCAGGGTGGGCCAAGGCTTGAGCAAGGATGGGCTTTGATGGATACGATGTGACAGGGAGAGCAGATCTCAGATGGCTGGAACGGCTCCTGAGCGGCATCAATCCAGCCGTAATGAAAAGTCATTATGGATTGAAATGCCACCGATGGGGAAGCGCCTCCCTCTCATCGATAGGAAGCCACTGATGCAGTGCCACATGCCAGGGAGAGGAAGGTGCCATGGAGGAAAGCTTGGCCATGGTGTGGACCACTTTGTTATGGGGATGGAGCAGGTGGCTCTCTCATGCAGGCTGTGGTGGCACTCCAAGGTTGGACTTGAAACATCTGAAGGATGCAGATACGGGTCCTGGCAGGTCACCTGCTCCATCACCCTCCAGCAATGCAGGGGTCCCTTTCTTGGAGCTCAGATGGAGGAAGCATCCCTGCCAAAGGCTTCTCCCACAGTACAAGTGCCATACTTCAGCCACTCTACTAAGCAAGGGGTTGGAAGGAGCCTGGGGCTGCCTGGAGCTCCCAGTGCTCAAGGGAGGGAGCAGGATTAGAGCTCGGACACAGCTGATAACACCGTGGTTTGGCTTTAATGCTGGGTACGAGATGGAGCGTGCCAGCACCCATCCTGCAGGGGCACCCGCTTGGTCAGGCCCAAGGGAGGGTGACACACCTTCATGCCTGGGGGCACCTTTGCCCTGTGCTGGGCTGACAGCAGCTGTCACCCACAGGTGCAGCCCGTGGCCTGTGAGAACAGCGAGGACAGGAGCATCACCCGCGTGGACGAGGGGCTGGAGGACTTCTTTGCCAAGAAGGTCATCACAGAAACACTGCCGTAAGCCTGGGGGGTGCTCAGGGCCCCTCACCTGCCCAGCACACACACATCCCAGGGTTTCAGCAGCCTCCCTGCAAACGCTGCTGGTCCCAGTGCAAAAGGGATGCAGGGGAAAGCAGCACACCCAGGGATGTCACCAAGAGCAAGGCTGGGGGAAGAGGAATGGGATGGCAGCCACGGTGCGCAGGATGTGGCTGTGGAGTCTGTTCCACAGCGGGGAGGCAATGAGGGAGCACCCATGGGAACCATGCTGGGAATGGGTGCCCTTGTCAGGACACTACCATCACAGGTCATGTGTCCAGGGTCTGGATCCATACCTTTAGGGTGGGCAGAGAGAAAAAACTGACCCCTTACTTCTTGGCAGCCTAGAGCTCACCTTTTCCAATGTTTCATCTCTCCCCAGCCCCACGACTCCGGAGACCTGCCTGGGATCAGCCCCTCTGGCTCCCTCTGGTTCCCGCACCCTCAAGAAGAAAATTGGGAATTTTTTTGCCTTCAAGAAACCCAAATCCAGCCGGGGCTCAAGGTGTGAGAAGGAGCCTGAGGGTGGTCCCACCGCCCCTAGGAGCAGGCGTTTGATGCTCAGTGACATTTTACGAGCCCCCAGCAAGGCAGGCGAGTCAGGGAAGCCCCTGAGTAAATCGGAGGAGGGAGGGCTCTCTGCCGAGCCCCACGCAGAGCCTGAGCACTGTCAGACCCCTGACTCTGCCCGGAGGATCCGGCCCAAGTACTCTCGGGAGGGCAAATCCCAGTCACTCATCTTGCTGTCTGGGGAGGACGAGGATGCGCTGGGGGTCAGGCATGACAAGGTAAGCACTGTCACAGTCACCAAGCTACCACCACTGTTCATCTCACCTGGTGGGTGCTGCTCCCACCCATGGATGCTGGTGGGGTTACCAGGGGATCACTGGAGTTATGGCTGGGGACAGCCCCACTGGGTCCTGTCCGTGTCACCATCAGGCAGCATGCCTGGGGTTGGGAATGTGGGTGCCCCACAGGCAGGAGTGTGGGTGCCATAGGTGCTGTGGTGGATCCACGTTCCTGGCAGGGTTGTGTCTCTCCTGCAGAAGAGGCACCTGGAGAAGAGTGAGGGGGAGTTGTCCAGCTCCTTTGAGCAGCGCATGCAGGTCATGCTCCATCGCATCGGCGTCACCAAGGGCCCGGCTGCTGAGAGCAAGAAGCAGCAGGTGGGGACCGGTTCCATTTTTGGGGTGGACCCTGCCCCACCAGGGGGTAGGAGATGGTGGTCCATAGAGTGGGGGACATCTCCCCACTGGGAGTGGCAGCACCCAGCTCTGTGCTGCCTATAACCTCTGCCCTGTCACCTAAGCCCCTGCAAGGGGTCAATTCCTATATACTGCATGGTGTCTGTCAGTCTGTCCCTCCTTTCCTGGCACGCACCCATCATCCCCTGCAGCCACATCAGAGCCTGGCAGCAGGACCCTGCCCTCTGTACCCATTGTCTATGTGGGCACTGCCTCCCTGACAGCCCCCTTACCAGTTTTTTTCCCTTTGCAGAGCAAAGACAGCGAGATCAAGAAAGCCGGTTCAGATGGTGAGGGGCTGTGCCCTCCCCACCCTGACCCCCACCCAGCTGGGCACCCATGGGTGGCCATGGGAAGTCCCCTTGGACTCCCAGCTGTGGATCCCACTACATTTTCCTCTTGCTGAGTGCTGGTGGTGCTGGGCAGACCCCAGCTCACTGATGCTGGCTGGTGGCTTATGCTTGCAGGGGATATCGTGGACAGCTCTGCAGACTCTCCCCCATCCCTGAAGGCCCGCACGCATTCTGTGTCCACAGGTGGGTCAGCAGTGCATGCTGGGGGTCACACCAGCCCCTGGGGCAGAGGGCTTTATCCCCTCTCCTAGAACCAAGCATGGGGACTGGAGCCAACAGGGACTGGTGGGCACAGGCATATGGGCAGAATTCCACCCTTGGGAGGGTGCCCTACACCCATGGGTGCTCATCCCTGGAGATGGCACATGGACACCCAGCCCATTGCCCAGTCCCTGGGCTGCCTGCAGGCTGGTTCCCAGCACTAAGAGCCATCCCTGGGGCTGTCACTTCTGGACGCCCACAGCTCCATCCTGCCTGCCCCACAGACGCACCCTTCCGCAGCCCAGCCGCCAGGACGGAGCCCGGCGCCGAGCCCCGGCCAGCCTGGAAAGCCCTGGGAAGGCAGCTGCCCGCTGAGCCACCGGCCACCAGCTCTGACCAGCCCCGGCGCTCCTTCACCCTAGCAGAGCCCAGCGAG